AGAGCTGCTGCCCCCATTTCGAATGGTATGACTGTTGTGTGTTTTTAAATTATGTATTGTTATGTTTCGTTTTTTTTTATTTATTTTTTGTTTGTACCCCCCCTTCCCTGATTTGATTTGTTAGCCGCCCTGAGTCCCCTCCGGGGAAAAGGGCGGCATATAAATATAATAAAATGAAATGAAAATGAAATTTTACTGATTAGATTGAGTTGTTGTTTTAGGAATGGCTAGTTTAAAGTAGTATGTAAAAGTAAAAAGTTGAGGTTTGATGCAGTAGTGAAATTCAAAATTTTTCCCTACCAGTTCTGTGGGTGTGCTTGGGGTGTGTGTCTTGGGGAGTGAGTATGCATGGCCCACACCCACTCTGTCACATGACCCCCCCAAGCCATGCCTGCAGAACCTGGTAGGGAAAAAAAATTGAATTTCTATTCTATTTTCTGCCCAGGCCTGGCCTAACCTATCAAAGGCCTCCTGCTCTCCCTTTGCCACACGATGCATTCTTACCAGAGAAGCCAAGCCAGGGCTGAGCCGTAGCTGATGGGCTCCCCACTAGCCCGCATCTCACCCCCCCTTGTCGCAAGATGCTTGCAGCTGCCTCCTCTTTTTTTTGGTGCACCTGGAAGTGCTTCTTGCGCCAAAAGATGCAGCGGCTGCAGGCTTCTTGCAGCAAAAATTACCGGAGCCTTCTTGAACCCGCCGCCGCCATGTTCCATGCACTGGCCACACACATGCAGAACTGTTGTCTGCTGCTGCAGCTCTGGAGGGACTTACCTGGGCATTAAGTTAATCACGTGATTGCTAAGCAAATCCAAATTTTTAGGTTTTCTGCCAGAAAGCAGCAGCAAAAAAATAATTAAAAAAATCGCAAATCACACTCATGTAACTGCATCACACTGCAACTAGTTGTAATTGTGAGCCGGTTGCCAAGTGCCTGAAATGTGAAAATGTGGCCTTAGGGGGGGTGCAGCAGTCATAACTTTTAGTACAGGTTGTAAGTAGCTTTTTAAAAATCCCATTGTTACTTAAAACAACCAATCATTAAGCAAGTACTACGTGTATCTCCTTTGTGACTATTCTCCAGATAATAGCAATAGATTTATATACTGCTTCACGGTGCTTTTACAGCCTTCCCTAAGCAGCTTACAGAGTCAGTACATTGCCCCCCAACAATTAGGCTCCTCATTTTACCCACCTTGGAAGAATGGAAGGCTGAGTCAACCTTGAGGCTGGTGAGATTCGAACTGCCAAATTGCAGTCAGCCGGCAATCAGCAGAAGCAGCCTGCAGTACTGCACTCTAACCACTGCGCCACCGCGGGTCAGTGGTTAGAATGCAGCAAATAACGTAGCAAATCAAGTTGAAAATTATTTAAATAATCTTTAGTCAATATCCCAGTGAACAGCAAAAGGCTTTCATTTCCCGCTATTCCATGATGATGGTACCCCCTTGTGTATTTATTTTCTGTGCTTTGTTTTGCTGCTTCTGAAAATAATGGTGACTCTTCGGATATTTAAATCTGTATTTCAGCTGTGTAAATATGTGCCTGTTTCGTCTCCCTTTTAGACTCATAGAGAGCTACTTAAGTTATCTGAGGGTATCGGCTTCAGGATACATTTGATTCACAAAGCTGCTGAAACAGCGAAGAAGTTTGGGCCGAAGTCCTCTCAGAAATTTGGTAAGGCAGAAATGAACAGGGATCTGTATTCAACTCCCATCTACTTGCTTCTTCTAGCTCTTCGTAACTGTTGCTTTTTCTACAGATATTTTGGTGACTACTCCAAACCGACTTATCTATCTGTTGAAACAAGACCCCCCAGCCATAGATCTGACCAGGTAAAAGGAATAGAACCCCCCCTCCTTTAAAAAAAAATGTACTCCTGTATTTGCTACCCCGTGTTTCCCCAAAAATAAGACCAGGTCTTACTTTCTTTTGGGACACAAAGTAAGCACTAGGGCTTATTTTTGAGGGGGGGTTCTTATTTTTTCCTGCTATATGGGAGACCCACTTCTGCTTGCTTGTGGCAGAGCAGGAGGTTGTGCAGCACATAAGTGCCAACACTGCAAGCAGAAGAAGTGGGCCTGTGGCATGTGGGCTCCTGCTGCAGTGGTGCTACTGCTGCGAGGCGGGTATCGGGGCGTGGGTGGCCTGGCTGCAGGGGGGTGGGGGCGCTGAAATAAGCCGATGCGAGGTGCATGGGGCAGCTCAACCATCACAGCGCCTCGCCTCATGGCCACAGCACTATGGGCAACCAAATGGAATGGGAGGCTGGGAGGTTGCACAGGCTCTTAAGTAGGGCTTATTTTGGGGTAGGGCTTATAGGTGCATGTGTAAAAAAACCATGGGGGGGCTTATTTCTGGATAGATCTTATTTTCAGGGAAACAGGGTCTTATTTGCTAAAAGGTGGACCTGCAGGTACTGTTTGTAGATTTAATTTTGCCTAAAGATGTTGATCCAAATAAATCCTATGCCAGTTAAAGTTTATAATGTATGCATAACATAAAAGTCCATGAAGGTTGTATGATTTTGCTAGCCGGTGGCAGAAAAGCTCCGCAAGTTATGATCTTCCAGGGTGGTTATGAAGAAACATGTAGGAGAAACAGTGTTTATCACAGAGGAATGTCAGGCCTGCAATTATATCCCTTTTAGAATTTTGGCCTGCCACACCTTCTCTTATTTCATTATGCTGTTTCTTTAGTATAGTTGATTGGAGGGGGGAATAGACAGGAGTGAGATTGTGGAATGTATTGTTTTCATTCTTTACTAGAAGCCAAGGTCGTCTTTT